ATTTAGAAAGGACACGCGTTCCCTCAGCAGGTGCTGCTCAATCAGGATCCTGTTATAGCGGAGAGTACTTGAAGATATCTCAGGCTTACCGGATAGCCAACCGTTGCTGAGAGCATCATGATATTTGGCAAGAGCGTTCAACGAGCCAGCCGTAGTAAAGTAAAGTAAAGTAAGCCAATAATGGCTTTTTACATTCAGGTGAGTGAATCATAGGCTTTCTACATCATACCTATGGATAAAAATTTGACATGATCTTACACATCACAATAAAAATAAACCAGATACTACCTTATTTAAAAGAAGTAAACCATTGCACAATTCTTTTAAAAGCTCTTCTTACCCATTAATAGGCCTGCCAAATATGACAAAACAGAATTACGCTATTCAGAAGTTCGAGCAAGTAAACGTTCGAACTTCGAGCATGAGGATTATGTGGATGCGTTTTTTAAAAGTTCGTTGTGCATTGGAGGATTCGTGTCGGAGAATCCTTCGGGAAATGGAGGTTTTTTACGCATTTACGTTTTATTTAATTAATTAGTCCTGAAGCGCGCCACTAGCGATTCCAATATATCTGTAAATCTATCTCCAGAGATGATGAAACTATTTGGATGTCTTCAACAGACTGAGGAAAATAAATCAGAAGTAACGAAATCCATGAGGGGATACGCATGTATGAGAAAATTTAACCCTCACTTTGTGATCAACATTGTCGACATATTCAAGGTCAATGAATGTGAAGAAAATCGGATTTGTTTGATAACCAAGAGGAAAAAAGGAGGAGGAAAATTGCACTTTGCGAAACATCAGAAGCAGAGAGGCGAGTAGCTCAGCCATGATTTACAGATTAATCAACAATCAACCGGCAAAAATTCGGATCAATGTCCTTTCCGATTAGCGGATTAGGCAATGCTGATAGATAGGTTTTGTAGTCTAAGATTATAATTCTAATGAACTGAAATTCTGCACGAAAACGATAAAAAGTGGCATCCAGTATGAAAGGAAAAGGGCGATTTGAAGATTTCGTGCAAAGCCATAGGAGTGAAATTTTCCTAAATAATTTGGGCTTGACTGACGAGTGGGCGGTGAAATGTCACTTTCCGGAAGGGACTCATTTCGACCAATCTCAAAAGGTAGGGAGTTTTCCAACTTGTTGGTCAGTTAGTGAAAATATTCCTCAGTGAAACCGGCGGATTGTCTGCGTAATCCTTGAGTACTACAGATAATCGTTCATCCGAACCAGAAGCTCTACTTATAATACGTTTTTAAAAATTGAAAGACCGTGATTATTTCAATAATTAGTGAGTGGATAGGGCTAATAAGTATTTGCTAAGTTGAACACTGGAAAACTAACATAAATTCATAGTCAAGCCCAACAGCATTGAAATTTTTGGATGCCATAAGGCAACATTCCTCGTGATAGCATTTAAATGCACATATTCCAACCTTTAGTTTGTGATTTGATCAACCAATCAAGTTGTATGTTTGGGATCTGTGTCCGCATTTCTATGACCGCTTTTTCCTCCTGCACATTTGTTTAAGTAATAGGGTAGAATAACTAAGCAAAATGTTCACAGTGAACCAAAGGGTTCATGTGTGAGAACACGGAAAAATCTGCTGCGATTGTCAATGGTTTTAGACGCTTTTCTACAATGAGATGCACAATTAATTCGATGCATTATTCTGCACGATTTTCTTTTCGTCGTATACCAAAAAGTTTCATTATTTTATTATTTATTTATTGAGACACTTATGGAGACAATGATCAGATATAATTAACGGTAAATACTTCCGAACACTGAAAGATTGTTGAAATTGTGAAAGGTGCGGTACATTCCGTTGAATTCGAACCCACGCAAGGACGCCGCCTACGCTTTAGTACAGCGCACGCTCTACCAGCTGAGCTGTGAGGCCATACCGACAGCGGCTCCCATGCGTGGGTTCGAATCCCACCAAGGCTACTGAACCTTTCACAGTGTCAACATAAGACACCAAATACTTAACACCGATTTGAGCTGAAAGATTGTGTTCTGTGTGTAAAAATGTTTATTGACTTATTAAGAGTGGTAGGAAAATGTACAAAATTATGAAAACCAAAAGTGGCGCTGCAGTTACACAGTATCTATGAGGATCACCAGCAAATGATTGATAAGTGATAATCACTCAATTGCACAAGCACAGAGAAAGATGGGACATAGACAATTCTTTCGATGACCGCAATTTCGGTTCCCCGCATTTGGTTTTGAGACAAAAAGAATAAAATCCACTAAAATATGTGACTGAAAGTGATTGATGTGACGTCTGATTTTATCCTGAAGGCATACGCAGATCAAGGCAGTTAATTTGCTTTAATTGTTGTTAACATAGCCGACAACGTCCACCCTCCAATTACGGACGTATGCCGGGTTGTCAGCTCAATAGAAATCAAAGCAATTAAACCGTATAACTTCAGTCGAAATTGTTTTGTGAAACCATACATTCGTAACACTAGGATTCACACGTTTCGTGCCGGTCGTGTCGGACGGCTGCTGACTCATCGGTTTCTCCCATCAGATTACGATTACTACACGTGAAGATCGGAGAATTACTTTGTTTTTTCTAGCCCTACATGGTTTGAGACCCACGTGCCGACACACTAAGGCCGAATCCAAAAGTCCCGAAGGATGCGGGTGAGTAATATTTCAGTCGTGCTTTTCACAGTTTCTACGGAATAAAAATAGGTCACTGATTACAGGGTGGGTTTTTTCAGTTACCCACTAAAAGAAACCATGAACCTGGAAAGGCTATGCTACTACTGTGTTAGTATTAATCAATACCATTGCCAGTGCAAATTTATCAGCCCAAATGAGTAGGTAGAAAGCAATCCAACTACCCAATTGATCACTGGGCAGCTGATTGAAATATTGCCCTTTGCCTGTGAGCTATATGTCATAACCCTTTCTTAAAAGTTTAGTGTAAGTTACTGATTTCGCCTAGGTGACAGGAAATTCGCGCTTTTCTGTACTCAGTAAATGGAAATGGTATATGTGAAACCTTACGTAACTGCAACTGAAGGGAGACTCACAACAACAATAATGATAACAAACATATACTGACCACTGAAGCCAACCAACGTGCTTATAACAGTCTCGACGTTTGAAATTCAACAAGGACTTTCTTAGACCCCGGTATCTGCGAGTTAAAATGGACACTTATTGGCAGCTAGGGTGAGTTCTCGTTTTCGGGTATCTTAGTGAACTTTAATACTTCAATATTCTGACTAAATGATTTCTGTCTAAGGTGGGTTTTGTTTGTGTACCGAAGAACAAGAAAACGACACTCCCTAGTCACTGTATCAATGCAGTCCATTCTGATGCACTCGTTTTCTCATCTAATCTCAAGACCCCAAAAACGTAAATCAATACGTCTCAGTCCTCTCTCCTCCTCTACCCTCGACCGAGCCTTCATACACAAACACACACACAATTGAACACGACCCAACTGTCAAAAATGCCAGTGAATGAGTAGATTAGCATAGAAGAGGTCAGCCTAGTCAGTCTGACATTTGGGGATGAATGAGTGATCAAGTGCAGTGTATAAGCAATCTGGTTGGGCTGTTGAGAGCTGTTTTTCATTTCGATCACAAACCGTATGAACACTTCTTTTGACATCAATAAATTTCTCTTCTATCATCTTCACATGCCTACGACCAAACAGTTCAGATTTTTCGATCCCTTTAAAAGATAACTAGATTGACTTTCTGTTTCATCATCTGTTGCCTGTCTGAGGGCCAAATTATCGGCTTAATTTAACCAGTAAGCAGAAATGAGTAATTTTTAGTGGTCAGTTCACATGCTCTTCAGATGGAACTCTAACCGGTCCTGCAGAGATAAGATAGAAAGAAAGGCAACTTGATTCATGTTTCTTTAAAATAATTAAGGCGCTAAACACGCATTAACTTTTTCTCTTCTTTACACTCATAGTTATGCTGTGATCAGCCTACACGGGAGCGTCCGCCGCACGAATTTTGCACGAATTCCGGCTCTGTCTTGCGCGCGCTATCTCTCCATTTTAGACTAAATGTTTGCTTCACTCCCTTTTCTTCTACTTCACCATCTAGCAACACCATTGCTTTGATAATCAAGGTATTCAACGATTCCGTATTTTAGCCACATTCCATTTAGGTTTGAAAATGAAATGGCCGCCTTCAGACTAGTTGCCCGTAGTCAGCTCCAAACTGAAGCACACCGTTTAGATTTCATCCATAGACAGAGTTTGTACATGGCAGATTTTTCTTGACTTTATGGTATCAAATATGAATCGGAGTGCCCGACCAAAGATTACACACAACCATGCGTTTTTAGAATTGACAGTGCACAGCTAACTAACTTGATTCTACGTTGTTGAAAGCGACTTTTCTCATAGGTTATGAATAATTAAGCTTGACCAACTTCTGATCCTTAAGTATATAGGAGCACAAACTACCAAGGATTATGTATATGTATATATATATGTATATATATATATATATCATGGAAACGAGGAGTCATTTCTCCCATATACAAAGGTGGTTGTCGTAGTGACCCCGCTAACTAGAGACCTGTAACCCTACTTCCGGTGTTATCGAAGGTCGTGGAGTCAATTGTGGCCGATTCTCTGATGGAACATCTCGAAAGACACAGCATTCTCTCGACAGCTCAACACGGGTTTAGGCAAGAGCGATCCTGCACCACGAACCTGCTTCTCGTTCGAGATGAATGGACCAGTACAGCTGACGAAGTGGATGCGGTGGATGTTATTTATCTCGAATTCGCGAAAGCATTTGATCGAGTGAATCACAAAATTTTACTGCAGAAG